AGGTGGGACTCAGATGTGACTCGGTGTCCATCAGACATGGAGCCTTGAGGTTTCAGAAAGTGTCTCCAGAGCCCTCCACGGCTAACATTTTTGGGTATTGAGGCTGAAGGAAGAGTCAAGGAGGACGTTGCTAAAACTTGATTCAGTGAAGTACGAAATAGAGCAGCTGAAAGCAATTTAGGACATACCGTATCCTGCAAGTATATTTGCTATAACATTTAAAGTTTAACACATTACTTTTTTGATGAATAAAGATGTCAAAAAGGCATGAAAGAGGGCTTGCTGGTGATCAGCACTCTGGCACCCGGCTGGCATGTTGGCCTGGCTCTGAGCAGCTCTCAGGCAGCCCTTTCTTCCCATCCACTGCTCTGGCCCAGACCTGGAAGCCAAACCAGCACCAACTTTGAGATGTATTTAAGGCAGAACTTTAATTTTTCTGTGCTAATTCACAAACCACAATTTTCAGAAAACAGTGGACTCGGGCCATTGGCACCATGGCTTTTCATGTCTTCATAGATTCAACTTTAAAGAGTCAGTATTGGAAAAAATGTGGCAAAGTAGAGTTGAAATACGTGACTGATGGCCAGAAGCTGGAGGGTTACCTGGGCACTGCAGATCCACCTGCTGTTCAGCTTCTGTTCTGAGACTCTGGCACACCCAGTGGAGAGGGACATGGGCCAAGGTCAAGACAGCAATTGGGGGTCTTGGAAAGACAGGTGTGCAGTTTGACAGCTGCTGACCTAGTGCACAAGCACATGCCAAGGGCAGGCATGGTGAGGGGTCGTGTTTGAAGGAATTTGAGAACTCAGTGCACAGAATCATGATGTTCGTTGGAAATAGAAATGAACTTTTCAACTGCTTTGAAATTGATCCACCTAGGTTTCATTGAAATTTTCTTTACACTCAGAAAATACTATATCCTCACCAGGAGTGGTGGTATATGCCCATGACCTCAGCTACTAGGGAGGCTGAGGCAGGAGGACTACAAGTTTGAGGCCAGCTTGGGCAACTGAGTGAGGCTCACTGGTAGAATGCTTGCTGAGTGTGAAGGGGGCCCTGGGGTCTCTTCTCAGTACCACACACACACACACACACACACACACACACAAAGAATATCAGACCATGTGTGGAACAAATTGGCCACATGTCACATAAGTGTCGGTGAAAATAAAGCTAATATTTGGTAACGTAGCTACTTTTCTGACTGCTCAGGATGTGGCAGGTGCTATTTTAAACCCCTGTGGTGTATGAACTCATATGTCGCTGAGTTCATTGTCACACACTGCCATTGCCCCCATTTTTCAGAAAAGGAGACTGAGCGTGGTGGTGATGCACAGCTTGCCTGAGCTGGCAGACCTGGCAGGCAGAGCCAGCAGCCTCCATCTCGTCAGCTGTCTGTCTCCAGAGCACAGGTGTCAGACCCTGCCCTGCGCTGCCTCTCAGCCAAGGAGCACAGAGCACCCAGAGGGTTGTGACAGCTACACGCAGAAGGAGAAGCAGGACACGCCAGGAAAAGGATGCGTTCCCAGGAGAGTCTCTCAAGGTCTCAGTCCTCAGATGTTCTAGGCTGCATAGCCCTGCCGCTCCCTATGACGGAAGTACTGTCACCTGAAGGTGCAGGTGTGGGGAAACGCCCTTGGGCGGACGCTCGGGGCCGTGTGCCAGGCAGCTTGCCCATCTTCCTCTTTTAGAAAAGTTATACCAATGTTATGAGCTCCAGTTGCCTGAGGCCCAAGAGAATGAGTTTTGATAGGTAATTTTCTCCAAAATAATGAGAGTTTTTAATATCATCAGAGAAAGAAAGAAGTCAGGGGCCAGCATTTTAATTTTGAAGTTCCAGGACATTTGCTCGTTTATGTGTTTTTCTGAAGAAATCAGGAAAGGTGTTGAAGAACATTTCTGAACTGTCAGAGAAAGTTGTAGAAAGGTGGCTGCTGAGAAATGGGCCCTGGGAGCTCGCGCGCACCCAGAGAGCTGCGCAGACACCGTGCGGGGCGCAGGACGAGCCTGGGGCTGGGGCTGCCAAGGCTCTGCTCCACTTTCTTTTATGCTGTTAACCATGGCAAGGTCACCAAGGGAAGGCACTGCTATTCTGAAGTGATTTCCGGGCTGTGTTTTCAGTCCTCGGTGAGGGAACCTGCCGCCTGGGTGGAGAAGAGCTCAGGGGAGAGCCCCTGGGGAAGCGAATGGGAGGAGGGGGGGGTGCTCCCCGAAGAAGCCAAACAGAAAGCTGAAGGGCTGGCCCTGGGGTGAAGCCTGAGCTCCACCTTCAGAGGAAGGAGCCAGGCCACAGGCAGCAGGCAGTCCTGGAGGGAGCACGGGCTGCAGCCTTCTGGTGCCCTCAGCCTTCTGGTGACTCAGAGCTTGTGGTCTGGTCGCCCACTTGTAGACTTCTAGGGGAAACCTTGTACATGCATAGACTCTTGGCATTGATTTTTGGAGTGCACAGGAAGAACTAGTGGAATCCCACTTTTTGTCACCGGAATCCTAAGGACAGTGGAGTATTATGGAGGATCTTGCCTAGTAAACTTTACCACTACCCTCCAGGGCAGGGTGCTGGCAGACTTCCTAGAAAAGTAAAATTAGGATTTGATGCTTCACATCAAGACAAACTAATGCCCATTTGGTAGTGAAGCGTCCCCTTTCTTCTCCCCCAAGGTTTGACGAAGGTGCTGTGGATGGTGTGAGGCTGGAGGGTCTCCTCTGGCATCATGGTTCCTCCTTTGGGACCTGACAGAGTCATCGTCTCCCACCTGCTTTGTGTCGCAGTGCTGGTCCAATTCCACTCCTGTTCATCCTGTTTCTTGGCCTCCATATTCCTCATGATAGCACGTTTCTGTGAAGTTTGAGTCATGCTTGCCCACATCACATCCTTAGTTCCCTTCTGACGTCAGAAACAATTCAGGGGTGGGATACTGGAGACAAGTATACGCCCAGACAGGTCAGCTGGATAGTGATGAAGTGGAGGAGCCTGGCTTTGACAGGCAGCTGCCCTGGGCTCCTTTGTACTTCTCTTGAGCCTGCAGTGCCCAGGAAGGGAGAGCCTAGATTCCCACAGCGGGTGCTCCTACCCGCAGTGGCTGCCTCAGACCTGTGATCCCAAGGGGCGGAGAAAGTGAGAGGTTTCACATCTGACAGGTGAGCAAAGGATGGGCCCAGGGAAAGGGATGAAAAGATTGTTCACAAGACATTAGATCAGCTGTTCTAAACGTATGGTAGTAATAAAATTTGGTTAAAGATGGGGAAACAGAGCTGGAAACATGTACCAGGCAAGTGTTCCACCACTGGGCTGTGGCTCAGTGGTGGAACACTTGCCTGGTACATGTGAGGCCCTGAGTTCCATCCTCAGCACCCATAAAAATAAATAAATAAAATAAAGGCATTGTGTCCATCTACAACTACAAAATCATTAAAAAAAAAAAAAAAGGATGGGGAAAAAATCGCAATGAAAGTTCTCATGCATATTGAGAGCCGCGCAGTCAGTCTTGGCCGGCCGGCTGGCCTGCCTGCTTGCCTTCCAGATCAGGGATTGAACCCAGGGCACTTTGCCACTGATCTACACCCACAGCCCTTTTTCTTTTTGAGATAGGGTTTCACTAAAATGCCCAGACTTGCCATCCTCCTGCCTCAGCCTCCTGAGTGGCTGGGATTACAGGTATGTAACACCACTCCGGGTTAGGCTGTGTCTCTAGAAGTCATTTTGGTTAAACAATAGTCTCCTCATCTATAAGAATCTCAGTAGAGAACCCGTCTCATTTTAACACCTAATGTGGCTATTCTTCTTCTTAGCAGTTGGTCTGCTTTTATTGCCTAAGCCCTATCATTGCTGACCTAAGCTTTCCTCCTTGGTTTGGTTACTAAAAGTTAAAGTGAAATTTGTGAGCTGCCTTTGGCACAGACTTAAATCATTACAGAGGAGAAATTCTTTCCTAAAATGTTTTATTTTCAACCTCTCAAATTTGCAAAAGAGCAGAAGTAATACAACAATGAACGTGCCTTGCCTTTTACCTGCCATCGCCAGCTGTTAGAACCCTGTCCCTTTTGTGGTCCGTCCTGTATGCCCCAGGCGAACCCCCACACACTTCTTTCTGTACCTTTTGCAGACGAGCTGTAGATCTCACAGTGCTTTATTCTGCCTAGTTCTATATACACCCTCTAGTGCAAGTTCGTTTCACTATATATGCATAAACCCTTGCTGTGCCAGATAATGCTATCAGTAACTCAGTCAGACCATCTACCCATGGTGTTAGATTAAACCACCAGTTTTCCAGAACATACGTTTGGCTATCAAGTCTCTTTAGTCTCCATTGAGGCGGGGAATTTTCCTAGTCTCTTTAGTTGACTTCTCAAGGACATTGACTTTCCTTGAGCACATGTAAGATGTCTTGTGCATGGAGCTCTTTCTTCATTTCTATCAGTGCTCCTCGTGATTTAGCTGAAGTTAAACATTTTTAGCAAAAACACCAGATAGGTGATGTTCTCACTGCATCCCATCTGCACTTGCAAAATTTCAGGTTGGTATCCCATTGCTAGTGCTGTTCCATCAGCTGGTGACAGCGTTAGCCGTCACGTTTCCCACTGAAGAGACAGTCTCTGTGGAACTCTGGGGTATGTGTGAGGAGACGCTCTGAGACTAGAGTGCCATTTTGAACCCACACCTGGTTCGCTGTTTTCTGTACCCTTGTTTGTTCACTGACCCCACAGTTTATCACGCACTGCTGCCACATTGTGTGTGAGCTTGTCAGGCAAGTCAGATAGTTTCTGGAAAAGCAGAAATAAGCTATGCATTTTATAAATACCTCCTCACAAGAGCACCTCGGGAAATCATTATTGGAATTATTTGGTTATGATTTAAATGTGCATATGTGATAAAACTCTTTCCCCATGTAACCAATTGGCCCCAGTGTGTACATATAATCAATCTATTTTCTTTTGCTACAATTCAAATCTGAGTGACTTTGTTCTTCTCTGGTTCCAGGCCCATCTGTGTCCACGTGAGCTTAATGACCGATCATCTGCAAGATGATGACCATGGAAGCAGAGAGAAAGATGACAGCACAGACACTTCTGACCCAAAGCCACCCAGAGGGACGGGAGCCAGAGTGCTGGAGCACACGTGTTCTCAGGGGCTTGAGGATCCGGGCTCTCTGGGTGAGGATGGCTGCCCGGGCTCCGGTCCACTTGCCGGGCCCCTGTAGGCGGTACTGGTATGGGGTGCAGGGCCCATAGAAAACCTCCCTGGCTAGCTTGGCATCCCAGAGGAAGAGGGAGAGCAGGTTGGGTTTGACGCCTAGCTCAGAAGCAATCTCATCCATGTAGTCGATGTAGTACACTCGAGATGCATCTCTGGGGCTGTCCACAAACCTGGAATAAGAAGGACAATGTTGGAAGCCCTATGTCATATTTGAGTCCATATTGTCCCCCGAGTTTCCAGGGAACTTCTTTTCTACTTATTTCTTAAAACACTTTTCTTAAATTTCTTAATGCATGTTTCCATGTATTGATTCTGTACAGAAACTATATCCTTGAGCACCGAACAATTGCAAACTGTTTCAGACTTTGGACATTAAAAACTATGCTGGTAGCCAGGTGTGGTGGTGCATGCCTGTAATCCCAGCAGCTCAGGAGGCTGAGGCTGGAGGTCATGAGTTCAAAGCCAGCCCCAGCAATTTAGTGAGACCCTGACTTCAAATAAAATCCAAAAAAAAAAAAAAGGCTGGGGATAGGGCTCAGTGGTTAGGTGCCCCTGGGATCAATTCCTAGTAGCAAAAACCAAAAAACTATGCTGGTAAGGTATTCTTGGGGATATATGATAAAAACTATTAAAGACTATTTTAAAAGTACCAAAACTTTTCAAATTTTGGAGGATATTAATTTCTATTGAAGAAACAAATCATAAAAATGTGAATTAATTATCTAGTCAAATTTTTTTAGTCTATATATCAAATCTAAAAATATACAAATATCTATTATAACTGACAAAATAGTAAAAAATCAAGTTCTGATTACAAATGAATATACAGGAAGCTATAACCAAAATCCAGAAAGCAAATTTGTTTTTTCCAGCAATGAAAATATAAACAACCAACAATAGACTCAAGTAGACAAAAATGGCATTTACATGTCCTGTTTAGTTGTATGGCCTGTACTGTGGGTCTAGTTAGGTAATGGTAAGAAGGGCACCTGATCATCTCCAAAGTTCCCCGAATGAGCATAGGTTTATTGCAAAGCACTCAGAGTAGGTCTTCACCACACTGAAGTAAGTACGCATGCTCCTGAGCTACTCTCTCTCTCTCTCTCTCTTTTAATATATTTAGTTGTCAATGAACCTTAATTTAATTCATTTATTTATATGTGGTGCTGAAAATCTAACCCAGTGCCTCATATGTGTCAGGCAAACGCCCTACCACTGAGCCACAACCCCAGCCCCGCTGAACTGCTCTTGATTGTGTCTTGAGGCGTGTGTTGTGTTTTCTGTATTCTGAACAGATTATTTCTCATTTGATTTTCTGACTTGCTTCTGGCAGTGAGCACAGGCTGGTCTGCGTGTTCTGGTCTTCACCGTAGAGGCCTCTCACTGCAGGGACTGGACATCCTATGAGACTGGTGTTCTAGCCAGGCTTTCCACACCTGTCCCCATGTGCGTTGTCACCATAATGTCACAGAGCTAGAATAGTCTTAGGGGTCTTGTTAAGGTGCCTTGTTCAAAAACAAAGGTCAAATAGGACCTGCTGCACCTGTTTGGTGTCCTTTAGCGGGGATCGTGTGCTTACTCTTTGGCCATTCTCGTTTTCCTTCTGTTGATCTCAGCCAGCATGTCAGTCTCTGAGGGCAATTTTTTCAGTCCTAAGAAAAAGCAAGAGAGAAATGTAAGGAGGGCTGCGAGACGAGTAAACAAAGAGAGGTTTTCCAAGAGGAGAGTTGTCATAATCGGGTCATAGGGAACCCCTGTGAACTTCCCTCCTGGCATTCTCAGGAGCGGGACGGATGGAGTCAGCTTTCCCCAGGAGACGCAGGCTGTTGAGTGGTTCTCAGCTGCAATACACAGTGAAAGTTCTTGAATGCTAAGAATTCCCCCAAACATCTGGCTTGTGGTTGACACATGATGTTTGCACAGATTTATGAGCTAAAGTGTGAGATTTGCACCCATGTGGGGTCCTCAATGCAGGGAAGTTAGGGTAAGCATCACCTTCATCTTTGTCATTTCTTTAAGGTGGGTACGTTGAAGATCCTCTCCACTACTTTGAGATTGACAGAGCATCTTGTCAACTGCAGTTGCCTGGCGTGCCACAGAACACCAGAGCTCCTCTCCTATCCCGGTGCAGCCCTTCACGGGCTCTCTGGTCTCCACCACTACTCATCTCCCAGCCTCTATGGGATCACCTCTGAGGTGCCTCTCATGAGAGAGCATTCCATGGGTGTCTTTCTGGGTCTGATTTATTTTGCTCAAGACTACTTCCTTATCCTGGTATTGTAAACAGAGCTGTGATAAACACAGGAGTGCAGGGGTCTTTTTGACATGTTGATTTCATTTCCTTGAAGGATATATACCCAGTATGAGATTGCTGGGTCACTTTTATCTTCCAGAGATCCTCAAATTCTACTGTGACCAGCTTCTGAGGCAGGTCTGTCTGAAAAGATCCTTACCTTGGGCTCATGTCTTAAAAAAAAGTTTTCTGAGTCCCCAGAGGCATTGGAAAAATGTCACCTCTTATGTGTATTCACAAACATACACTGATGCAAAATCTCCCAGGACAAACAGTCGCTACTGCATTTTATAAGGAAACAAGTGGCTAAAGTGAAAGGTGGTGTGTGTGCGTGTATACGTGGGGGAGAGGAGGCGTGAGAAAGTGCAGGTCAGGTCAGGTCAGGTCAGGAGGAGACAGGGAATCGGGACAGCACAGGAGAAGCAGATGCGCTGACTTCTAAACTACATGCTTTGCGCCTTGTCAGGGTCACAGGGACAGCAGGTGAGGTTGCTGCTCAGGCACTGAAGGGAGCCACTAAAGCAAGCAGCTCAACCCAGGGCAGGCAGACCCAGGGACCTGTAGGCTCCTCCCACTCGCAGTCTGGGCTCTGTGCTCCCCCGTCTCCTCTAAGGGAACCCTGCAGGCATTGGCCTGCAGTCACCCCATTCCTTCATATTCACTGCTGGGTCCCACCAACTCTAAAGACTGAGTCCTACTGTGCATCCGGTCTGCGGTGACCTGCACACAAAATACAGGCTTCCCTCCTCCGCCCTCTGCCAGGAAGTGTACGTGGTAAGTCTTTGAACATCTCTCAGAGGAACGAGGGGCCACCCAGGCCTGGTTGTCCTAGGTTCCAGACAGGTAACAACACTGGGTTCCCAGCACCAGAGCAGCATCAGGTGGTATAAACTGGATGCCAGTCGGGTTAGAGCCATGGGGTGTCTGCCATCATGTATGGGTGTCTTGTGTGTGCCTCCCTGCTCCCTGGGTGGACAGCTGGAGACCCAGGTCAAGAAGCATCCTGTGAAAGGCAGGTGGTAGGTACCACGGCCAGCTCCCATGCACGTCCAGGAAGAGCAAGGCTGCTAGCCACCTGGTTCTGGAACCCCGTTTACCTGGGCTCTCTCCAAACACTCGGGTGCCACAGACGTAGCACAGAAGTGTGATCTCCTCATGAGTACCACGAAATGTCCTACGACACAGACTTTAGAGGATGCAGTGTATGCGCATGAGCAGACTTGGGAAATGGACGGGCATCTCTCATTACATGTGCACAACTTGTGGAGCATCAGTTTTCCTCCTAGGTATGTCCCCAAGAGATGCACATGCTCAACTAATCACAGGTGTTAGGCTGTTGATGGCATCATTGTTTCTAGTCATCCTCAGTGGCCATCAGCATGGCATGGACAAGTTGTGAGTATATGTGTCCAGATCACACATCCGTGACTTCAGGAAATGAGGTTAGACAGAGAAGGATCACAGGCCACCTGGATGCACATTCCTGCCTCATGCAGTGAAAAGCAGGCACTAGATAGCTTCCTGACTCACCTAACTGGCAAGTGTATGGCTCAGAAGGCAGAGGATTCAGTGAGGGCAGCCACTCTGTATGCCCATGGTGACCCTTCAGGGAAGACATGTCCTGAGAAGATGGAACCCTGACTTCTCATTCTTCGGAGCATGGGGAAGATATCAAAGTTATTTGGGGATGTGAGGGAAGGGGACACATGTGATTCAGCCAGCTTCTCTGGCTCTCAGCAGCTGTCATGCCACTCTGCCCGTGGAGCCTGGTTTCTGTCTGGCCCCAGGGTTGCTGGGTTCAGAGGCATCAGCCTGGGTAAGGACTTGGGAAGTGAGCCAGAATATGAGCCACGTATTTGGAGTTTACCTGAAACGTAAAGTGACTTCCCTAACTTTCTGCATTCTGTTCACAGGTAGCTTCTCCCTTGCTGGCCTTCTGCCCTGGCCAATTTCTGCTTCCATAATGCTCTCCCTTAAATTAACTTTCTACTGAAAAGAACTAAGTGAATGGATACCCAGTACTCAATTGTAGCCTGATGACAGTTTTACATGTTTTCTATTGTTATTATTTGGTTACTTTCCTTTTAACAGAATTCTCTTAGAAAATCAAACTGAAACTTCCAGAGAGTCCAAAAGCCATGAATCTCTAATGGTGAAATCTCAGGTGCTGTGGTATAAGGTAAATTGGACAGAAGAGCTCCGGGTGCCTTGCCATTCATGCAT